CTATCATGTGTGTGTGTGTGTGTGTGTGTGTGGTGTGTGTGTGTGTGTGTGTGTGTGTGTGTGTGTGTGTGTGTGTGTGTGTACTCACCTAGTTGTGTCTGCAGGATCGAGCATTGACTCTTGGATCCCGCCTTTCGAGCATCGTTGTGTGTGTGTGTTGTGTGTGTGTGTGTGTGTGTGTGTGTGTGTGTGTGTGTGTGTGTGTGTGTGTGTGTGTGTGTGTAGGGCGAGGCGAGGACGAGGCAGGACCACGTAGGGCGAGGCGAGGACGAGGCAGGACTAAGAAGAGGCAGGGTTCAGGCAGGCAACAAAGGACACTCCTCCATGATGAGCACCACCGAACCATCTCGCCAGTTATCAAAGAACCTTTAATATTCCCGCTCTCCCAACTTTTACCTCCCGGACATTTCTCTCCGTCGTAGAAAACAATCTCGTCTTCATTCAGACCCTCTCAAAAATCGGCCTTTACAATCATAATCCGAATATTGGTGCCTAAGTCTCTCTCTCTCTCTCTCTGTGTGTCCGAGGACCAGCGCTGCAAACGGCCAGGAAGCTCGTATCAAAATACCCTTACCTACGCTCCCCATCCTCCTGTACTCTTTATATGATCATTATGCTCACTACAGCTTGCTCGGAGCGTCCCCCGGACCATGACGTGGGGGGGCGTTAAAAAAACCTGCACAACACACCTTTGAAAATAGTTTTTAGCCCGGACGAAACGTTAAGAGTGGCACGATAATGAACTTTGGTGACACTGCACCGAGGGCCACCTATCAATAAAATGGAACTTCAAAGGTGGCTGGCCGCTCATCCCTTTCTCCTGCACTCCTGGAAAACAATGGGAGGAAGTGGAAGCCTCTCTGGAAACCTCTCCCAACCCATCATAGTTCAGGCTAAAATATTCCTGGGAATTCCTAATATGAAGGGAAAGAGGGAAGACGTAGCTACGCCTCCTGGCCCATTACAGCCGCTTCTCATATGATAATGGGATGGGGTAATCACTCTAGCGTCCAGAAGGTGTTTAGTGCATTAGTATGCAGAGGAAAATTACAAACAGTTAATAACAATATTAATGTGAATAACTGTATTTTTTTTAATATAGGTATACTGTGTGTTCGGATACAGGATGTACGATAATGGATACCGTTCTTTTTATAGCCTTACAAACGCGTAATTTCATAAAAAGTGTGTTAAAAAAATTTACAAT